GAACACCTCGCACAAGCGCGAGCTCGTCGAGAAGGAGCTCGACGAGACGCTCGCGCAGCTCGGGCTCGACTATCTCGACCTCTACCGTGAGTGGCGCGCGCAGTCTATATGCATGTAGTGAGATGAAGATTGATGTTGATGTTGGTGGTAGTGGTTCATTGGCCGGTGGCGTTCAAGCCGGGCAAGGGGCTCTTTCCGCAGAAGGCGGATGGCTGGGTCGACCTCGATGTGGAGACGCCGCTGACGGAGACGTGGGCGGCGATGGTGGGGCTGCTCAAGACGGGGAAGGTCAAGGCCGTTGGTGTGTCAAACTTTAGCATCGAGCACATCGAGGGCATCGTCGAGGCTACGGGCGTGTGGCCGGTGCGTTCTGCGTTCAATCGATGAGGAGCCGCTTATGCTGAAGGGGGTGCAGACCGTGAACCAGGTCGAGGCGCACCCGCTCCTCCAGCAGGACGAGCTGGTCGAGTTTTGCAGGAAGCACAATATCCACATCACCGCGTACAGCCCGCTCGGGAACAACAGTACGCGGCGCACCGTGCTTACAGTGGTGATGACACCCAGCTGACGTTGGATCTGCAGTGTTTGGCAAGCCGAGGCTCACGGAGTACCCCGAGGTGCGGGAGATCGCCAAGAAGCTGAATGCGACGCCGGCGCAGGTGCTCATCGCGTGGGGCACCCACCGCGGGTACTCGGTCATCCCCAAGTCTGTGCACAAAGGTGCGCTGGTCCTTTTTTCTGTCTGCGCGCGCTGTGTGGCTGACAGATCCTCGCGGCAGACCGCATCGTTTCTAACTTTCAGCAGATCACGCTGCCGCAGAGTGACTATGAGGCGTTGACTGCGCTGGGCAAGAAGAACCCGACGCGGTACAATATGCCGTTCTGTTACTCACCGCATTGGGATATCAGCGTGTTCAATGACCCCGCCGAGCAGGGCGCGACGCAAAGGCCCAAGGTGAAGTGAAGCCCTGTTATCGGTATTGAAGCTGGGAGTGGTACGAGAAGAAGGTCACAATGTAAGAATACAGTGTAGATAGAGTGGACGAGGGCGAACGTCGTTCGCTTGTCAGAATAAAACACAGATGCGATAGACATATTAATTCGTCGCGGACGCTGTTCCTGGCTCTCTATCGCATCCTGCACGTCTAGCACTCTTCGGAAGAACAGACAGACGGGTGTGGAGGGCAGCAGGTTAGGTCAGGTTAGAGACGTGGGTGCGGCGATACGCACTGCCTGTTGCGTCGACCGGTGGACTCGAGCGGGTGCCGCAAAGAACGCCGGAGATAGTGGCGTCAGCGAGCGAGGATAGGCGTCGGGTATCGGAGACCGAGGCTAAACGCGGCTGCGCATGCATAGCAAGTGGACGGTGAGAGCGTTCGAGAAGGAGCGCGGTGTCCGGGGTGGCCGAGATAGGAGCGGGGAGTGGGGAAGCCGTGGCCAAGTGCGGGGGAATGCCCGTTGGAGACGGCGTTGCGGGCGCTCGATCTGCAGCGCAAGTGACCGAGTCCGGCGTCCCATATCGGGCATGCGTGCCGCCGTCGCTCGACGCTGCCGCTGCCCGTCGTCTCCTGCCCTCGCCCGTCTGTCGTCTCTGCCGCCACCAGCTCCGGCGCACGCCCGCATCTCCGGCGACCGAACGCAACGCTGCCATACAAGACGCCGCCCCCGCACCGCCAGGCCAAGGCCTCTGCGCCCCCGCATGAGCACCGCGTCCCCGACCGCCTTCCTCCTCTGGGCCATCCTCTCCGTCCTCGTGCGTCCTCTCCTTGTCGTCTGTCGCTGCTTACGCATGTGCTCCCGCCCCGCGCCCAGTTCCAAGTGTTTCTCACATACCACCTATGGAGCTACGACCGCTTCCAGTGCCTCCGCTGGTCCTCCGGTCGCCAGCCCGGCGCGTTCAAGCGCGTCATGACCGTGCGTGCATTCTCTTCCTCGTCGTTGCTTGCTGACCTCTTTCATTCCAGTACTCGTATCTATGCTCCGTCCCGCTGTTCGTGATCTACAGCGTCGCAATGACCGCCCTCAAATACAACGAGGGTGCGTGTCATTCTTCGCCCTTACACGTCCACGCCAACTGATCTGATACCCAACGCGCACCAGGCTTTATCGTCACCCAGGATCAGCGCAGTGAGCCCGCTTCTTCCTTGAGAGATGCGCACGCCGCTGATCGAGCTTTCTTTCTCGCGCATTGCTTTCCTAACTCTACGCGTTGCCTACGCGCGTGCCTGCCCGACCGATCCGTGTTTTTGCATTGTGATTCCTCTCTCGCCCGCTTCCCAACCTGTTCACTTCGCTCCGCCCGATCATACCTCCGCTGCGCACGACTGGCGCGATCTGCAGTCCTCCCCCGCCCGGTCTACATGTACACCGGCGCGTCTCGCCACTGGTACCTCCCGCTCAACTTTGTCTTCAGCTTCGGCTGGGCGCTTGAATTGTGAGTGGTTCTTTCGCTTTATGCATCCTGAGATGGCGGGTTTGGTCTTCAGCAAGTGACGTCCTCGATGTGGTCGGTCCATGTCAATGGGAGTGATGGTAGTTGACTCGATATGTGGATTGACGCCACGACTACCGTTTCGTTTTGGTTCTCTGCTGGCTGTCCCACACGCTTTTGCTGATTCCCTTCGCGTACGCCAGAGTGACGCATCTCGAAGGTGAGCCGCATTCGTTCGGCGCTCGATCCTGCCGATAGGCTGACTCCTTCGCGACGCAGAGCTCGCGTTCTGGTTGTACCTGCTGCACCAGACGCCGGAGAAGGGCGAGTGGTTCGAGAGCTGGGAGTACAAGTTGTGGTATTGCGGTGGGTGCTCGTCCTTCATTTACCTCGAAGGACACGTCTGACGCTGAGGAACGCGGTCCAGGGAGCATCGTCGCGATCATTGGCATGCCGCTGACGTGCATGATCGCGCGACGCCATCTCGAGACGGTGCGCTCCCTCTCTGCTGCTGTTCCTACACTTGTTTAAGCCGCTCTCAGGTCGACGCGTATATATTCCTGTCGGGCTCGGCGGGCTCGTTGACCACGACGGTCGCGTTTCTGTATGTGCTTTGGAGCTTTCCGCGGTTCATTCGGCATGTCAAGTCTGAGGGCGCGGACCCGACGGTCGTCGTGCGTCTGTGCACGTTCTACCAGCTCAATGTAAGTGTTGCGATCGCGGCTCTCTGCGTTCACTGATATCCCTCGTCGTTGGTTGTCCTGACATCTATTCTGCGGTCTGAAGCTCGCGCGCGTCGTGTTCCGCTTTATGTTCACCGTCCCGCTGCTCATGATCGCGATCGACGGCATCTCGGGGACCACACATCCACTCAACTCGAATCTGTGAGTAATCCGTGCCCGTCTTCGTCGTGCCGACTCCCTGAGCGATCACCGCTAGGTTCTCAACAGGTACGTTGCGAGTGATGGCGTGATGGCGTCGTGCTGGGGTTGGATGGATGGATGCTGACGCGCCGAGTAGATTTCTTGCAGATGATTGGGGGAGTGGGGTGTTTCGTTTCGTCGGCGATTAC